CATGTAGATTTCAAGCAGTTCCATGATGTCAGTCACTGATAGTGGTGTTCTTTCTGGAAGACGAGGATCATCTGTTATCAGATTCCGTATGCTCTTCCGCTAATTGTGTCCATATGTTTGTAAACCGAGATGTGACATCGAAGGACACCATTTTTTCTTTCGGTTTCAGTTGTAATACTCTTATTCGATATACATAAATATATACATAGACAGAAGGTGAATTCGTTGTGTATATAGCACATGAAGAGTGAACTGAAAAGCTAGGAAGCACTGGACAGCTGTTTCGACCTGGTTTGGTTTCATCAGCAGTGCGAATCCATCGACTCAACTGGGGATCGAACCCGGGACCGAATGGGCAGAACACAAGCCTTCTGCCCACTCGGCCACCGGGCAGCTGATCAGATCATTTTCCATTTACACGATATAACATAACCCATCTTTGCAAGCTTGTTGCGGGCCACAGACACTGCTCATCTCAGCACTAGACTCCGGGATTTTGACTCGGTTGGAAACTTTCGCAACCTGACTACTGATTTCAAGTGAGTAACATATATATACCATTCAAACGCAAACTATACGCCAAGCTGATACGAGAATTACTGTATCCAAAATAACGAGTTACATAAGCACCGCCCAGGAGATAAAGAACTCCATCCCCCAACCGACAGCCTTCAGCCAAGCTAATAAACCACTGATAATGGAGAAAGTGCACGCAACACTACCTCAACATTCATTTGAACCAATGTACCCGAGCCAGTGATACAAGCCTTGGAGGAGCGTCAATCGGAAGAGTTGAGCCACTGGGATGAGTTATGTATCAAGATTGGCATCAAAGTTCCGCTTCGAAGACCGATTTGCAACAATCACTGATATTGTATCGTGGGTATCCGTTGTCGGTGATCTTTTTTGCGGTTGTTTGCCGGTATAAGGAGAATTAGGCTTGTAGCAAAGCGTGGTCCGTATCAACAGGTGTTGATCAGTAAGAACAGCAGTTTTGAATCGACCCTCTCCAGCGGTAACTGATAGCGATATGGTCGATTTGGGTCCATCGCTGTGAAAAGATTGGCGGTTCCCATGTAAGGCGGTGTAGTTTATTGTGCGAGAAGTTCGTGTTTGACAGGAACAATCCGATCTCCGTTGTCCGTCCGGTTGGTTCGGATTGCATGTGGTCCGCCAAGTCTTTCAGATTCGTCCAGGTATCCACTCGAGCATCGAATTCTCCGGCGACTACTGCGATGTCCGTTGATCGCGCACCATGGTGGCGCAGTGGTTTAATCGCTGTCACCGACGTGCTTTGGACCCGAGCCCCGCCACCGCCACCCAACTTTGGTGGTAGGCAGCCTTGTTGTCGTCCGGTTCAATACGGCACCTAACCTATCGGGGCCTTATGTGGTTCGCCACTTCAAGTCCTGGGGCTTAGGTTGCCGGTTATCAATACTGAGCAGTAGTTCTTCGTGACTATGGGGTTCGCTCCGTCTGCTGTTCACCTCACAAACGTGTAATAAAAAAATTAAAAAATTGAGAAATGGCCTTGTAGAATTCATCCTTCATTTCTGGCGAACTGCAATCGGTCGATGCATACAATTTCCCATAGTAAAACTTTAACTTTGACTGGCTTACAGCAAACAATCAATCACAGAGGATCACCTGTTTGACCCTCATAGATCCCTTCAAAATGTAAGAACAAGTCACACATTGAAACCAAACGGACCTAACCAAAACCGGTTTTCAAACAGAAACTTGAGCAATCATCACGAAAAATCACATTCAATTCGCACAGGTTGTTGTTCCCTTACGCCATCCTGGGACCCCGGCCATATTCGACGAGAAAGAGATGGCAAAAGAAAAGATAGAGATAATTGCGTGTAACTGTACAGCCTTTGGTTCTCATAACCCACTGGTCGTCACATATGAAAGGCCAAAATTTACACAGTGAGTAAGATTGTCTCCAGTGCGATTCAGTGCATTCATGATACGCAGAAAATAAAACACAAAATGTGTCTGTTCACTGATTCCAAATTTGGCACAGTTTGCACTGGGCGGATTGACTGTACAATGAAAATCGAAAATGCGCCGAGTCTTGGTAGTCAGTACGAGCGTCGGGGTCAGCGTATGTGCTGCGAAAGAGTGACGGAACGACACTAGATCACGGCTACGTCGTTTACGCACGCCATCTGGAATAGAGGATGACAAAAAACGGGATAAGTAATACAATGACAGTTGAGATACGAATAACGAGTCTTTGATCTCCAATTGTAATGGTTCAGTTCGATGGAAAGGTGTGTAGAGTGTTGAGTTAAATGAACCACGGTCAAGTAAAAGGAAACACTGACGATACTTTGCGCTTGGTCACATTACTGACGTATGGTTGTCTCAACAAAGGTTGAGTGCACAAACTATTTGGTAAATAACGCGGTACAGATTCAGCGGCTATTAAGTCTCATTATTAAATCATTCGACCGATGCAAGACACGGAAACACTTCAGTCACAAGGGGAAAGCACTCAACAGAATTCAAACTCGGGCTTTGGAGCAGTGAATCACAGAAAGTTGCCAGAAGTGAAGATGCACTACCGGGTGGTTGGGGTGATACTCTATAGCACACTAGGGTACAAAGTCATGTACTCAAGGACTACAAGACCCATTTTTTATTTTGGTGGAGTATATGAAGTATAAAGTATCAATAGCACCTTTGATATGGTTGACGATCGTGTAACTCAGTACATAATCCACCTCTCTGATTTCTATTACTCTTCCAAACCGCATCTACAACTCAAAGAAACTGAAGCACACATCAGCAGCCATAGATAGATAAATTGCACGACGGTTGGATGAAAGAGGCTGAGGATAACCGAGGCCTGAAAATCTCAAAGAGATGCCACACGACATACTCGTGGTTCATCACTCCAAATTCTAGGACTCAGGTTACCGGTTTCTATGAGATAACAGTAGATTCACGTTACTGCTGTTCATCACACAATAAGGTGCAACAAAAGTGTGAAAAAGATCTGTTGTCTGATCTAAAGGCTATAAAGGAAATCTGTCCATTTGACAGAGATACATGAACTACTGTGTTGCATCCACATCCATCGAATAGTAGTGAATGAGCCCCTTTGGAAACATCGACAACCATGCATCAATAAAGCTGTCCACTAATGGCTGCGCTAAAGTCGGAAGTGTGCCTTTGAAATGGGCCAGCAGACGCGGCGGAAGTCTCCCATAATGTTATCATGATTCTAGTTTTTCCTCTCTAAGGAGCAAGTCGAAGAAGTGCGTTGCAACAAATCGGTGGTCTGCGCACCCCAACAAAATAGCGTAACTTCTCTCCATATATGATCGATCCTTGCAAATCCTAAATGCTATCCTCAAAGTAAAGCGAATTTTCATGGTGCTGGGGTAAACAAACCATGGATAAATGCATACCTAGTAGGAGCTACCAGTCACTTTTATTGACTGTCGGACTTACTGTATCTCACAAGCAGCTCGTTCCCAAGATCCATAACTACGCATCTAGTTATGAGACACCAAAGTGCAACGTGCGCATTTTCTTTTAATGAACCCAAAAGCTCAACAGAACATCTCAATTGAGTCCAAAACTGTCTAATATATGAATGAAAACGGTACACACCAAAAAGCGGATGAAAAAATACTACTGAACCATGCTTCAATGTGCAAATTAATGCGAGTGTACTTATGTTTAACTGTGACAGTTCGTCATGTTGAGCGATTTTCATTGCAGCTACCAGTCAGGTTTTCGATCTTGNTTGTCATAGATCTTCATACGCTTTACTTAACTCTTCCGATCATCTTTAGGCTTCTCTTCTTGCACGAAAAGCCAATTGACCGTATCCAATGGATGACCTAGGTAGTTCGCCTTTAGTCCCCACCTCTAACAGATTTCTCGGCAAGCACTTTAACACTACCCCGTTCTCCCTCCAACGTAAAGTATCACAATCTGTAAAAAGCCGAACCAACAAGTTAGTTATGGTGTAACATTCCCGTCAAACTCTTAAGTAGAGTGCATCCATGGAGAGGCGTACGAACCACACTAACAACTTCCTCGTTGTGCCAGTGGTCACCGGCTCGATTAGGCATCGAGATGTATTGTGCACCTTGGACGTTTGACCCCGTTCAGAGAGCGTATGATCCCAAAAAACAGACACCGGCCTCCAATGGATTGCGCTTTTCGCCATGCTGCCTTGCGAGTCAGACTTTGGCTGACCAAAGGCTCTGGTTATTGATTCCTCAAAAAAATCACGTGCATTGACCTGGGCAACATGGCAGTATTCCGCCCACATGCAAATCATGGAACTTTTTTCTTTTACATAAAGATTATTGTGCTATGATTTGTTTGACGTATGTGGAAAAAAATCCTCATATCGAATGATTAACATCTTTTACTTATGTGAAGTAAAAATACTGACATCAAGCCTCTATGCTTGCCTTAAGATTCGAACGGATGTTATATATAACACATACATAGTGCTTTTTGTATGAATGCTCTTTCAACTCATTGCATATTCAGTAGAAACATGAAATAAAACTTTGCAATTTTACGAAGAAAGGACAACTTCACATCCACTCATAGAATTAGTATCATAGAAGTAGTTCGTTTCTAGCCCAGTTGTTGTTGATGAAGGGCGTCTACTGCGAGCCCCGGAGAGACAACATAAGATCCAGATAGCAAGGAGTTATCACAGCGAATCCGGTACACAAAATAATTCTTTAATGTGAAATCCCACACAGTTACTATATCTATAGAAACAAGAAAACAAACCATGAAATGCACTAGGTAGCAGTAAACAGTGAGAGAAAACTGATTCGTGATTGAATTCGAACTCAGAATGACAAACAAACCACAATTTTCTAATTGTGACAGGTGAATAAAGATTAGGACACAAAGGATTAATTATTGCCTGACAAACAATTGGGTGAACGATTTTTACTTCGGGTAGGCGGGTCACTCACATTTTTAATATTCTATCTTTTCCACCAGAAACCACCCGCTGGCCATCTGGACTCCAATCTAGGGCATAAACAGCATCCGCGTGTCCAGGTAAGTCATATAACAGATGGCGTCGCTTTTGATGCGCGGCAGCATTTTTGTTCGACCCAGCGGTCTTTTTCCCGGCCACATCCGCGGCAAACAATTGACGTTTGCGTTCTGACTTGGGAACAGTAGCAGCTTCCTGGTTCCAACGACGCACTTCGGCCAATGACCACAGTTTAAGAGTGGAGTCCTTTGAGCAGGATACCAGGAGGCGACTGTCACTAGACCAAGCTACTAGATAAACTTCTTGCACGTGACCAAACAGAGTGGCCAAAAATCTGAGTAAGAGAATAGGTAAAATTCCAAGCTTGTTTTTAATGAATGCATAGACAGGAAACTTTGTAGATAGGAGGAACTACAGAGAGAATTTGATAACATTCAATCAATATGCCTCAATCATCAAATCCGTCTGTATTTTCTGAACAGCTCAATGGATCCCATGCACCCACTGCTTTCAAGGAAAAAGATTTCATTCTTCCTGCCTGGGGTGCCAAAATGCATCGATGTCTAATCTATACATAATATACGCAAGTATCACTGTTAGTTGTCTGAATTTAGTATCTAATTTTTGACAGATAGCTCAGTCCTTCGGTTTCCTCCTTTGGATTTCCTCGACGGTTCAAGAGCATAATTTTGGGTGGTTATGTTGACTACTTATGAGTAGTGTCCATGAAGAAAAAGAAAAGCAAACAGGTCAACCAATCGAAAGGAAGTGACATGGGCAAGGAAGTAACGAATCTGTAACTCGGCCTTTGGAACCAATCTAAATTGAGGTCTTGGTTGAATTCTGGTGCGAGTTAACAGTGCCATGTAAATTAAAAATAATAACTGGTAAGCTATTGGAACTTACCGCATTTTTACATGGTTATTTTAAAGAATAACCAGATTCTGTATTTAGCTAAATTCAGTCCATGAAAATTTGCTGACTCATGCTGAATTACCCCTTCAGATTTCAAATTAAGGTGACACATCGAAGCACAGGGCATTTAGACTTCCTTAAGTATTCTAGTGGGATTTCAAGCACAAACGCTGAACAACCGAGAGGAGTTAATAAATTATTAGTTGTTTTTCTTATCTCCATTAGCATTCTGATAAAAACTGTGTGGTCTTTATACAGTCTCATTTGACAATTTCACTCATTAGATTCTTAACAACCGCAGCCATTCATCCATTCACGACCTTTTCGCTCCCATGTCAAATCAAGATTATATTTTTGATTTTAAGCCTCTTGATCCAACAATACCCTACTCGGCTTGCACTCGAAATGACAAGGTCCTACACGATTAATTGATAAATCTAAAATGATATCCCTTCCTTGTTTACTTTTTGTCATTGTTGCATATGGCATCTTCATCCTAACATGATGGGGAACACAGTTTTTGAATGAAATGCAGATATAGTTGGTTACATGGGTTATTACAATACAATACCTTACAGAACAAAACCTAGTATTTTCGTCTGATAGATTTAGTCGTCAAGATATAAATGACCACGTAACTCACGAAGAATGTAATCAAACAGAATTTTCTAATGATTTCTTGATTAGCACGTTGCAAAAGTGGACAAATTTAAATACCATAATACTCCATAATGGGAATTTTGGGAACATTTGTTTTAATCGAATGGTATACGGTATCACTGCACAGTTATTCTGCCGTGGTATAGAAAAGAAGACGAATTCCACAGATAACGAAGAAGCTATTACAATGCGATCCCTGGAGTTGATGATGCACCGAAACCGAAGCTCCCGCAGCTCTGGTGATCTTTACAGCTCCCATGGAAGGTTCTTGCTAATAACTCATCTTTTCATAATTTTAACATGAAACTATAATCTTTTATCTACCAAAACAACATGATTATAACAAACTACTGAACCTCAAAGTTCATTCGGTTGAATGCGGTGGGCTCTAAGAAAAGCCTGTCACGGTAGAAAGTTAACATGCTAATTGGTAGACTCCAAATTTGTCTGTGAGTAGGCCCAAAGAAGGTTAGCTTCATGGCTTGGTTGGTAGATCGTGTGGTGCAAATTTGCGCGGGAAGCATCCATGAATGCGATCGAATCCTACCCAGGCTACTGATATTTGCAGATATTTGTCTGCCAAAACAATATAATAATATATAATATAATAATATAATATAATATAATATAATTTGGACAATCATTTTACTTTTCAATCTTTTTCCCCGAGGATTGCGAAATTTTGGAACACGCTTCCCATTTCCGTGTTTCCAAGCTCTTATAACCTTACCCTTTTCAAAAGCGGGATTAACAAATTGATTCTTACTTGAATGTTTCCCCACATACCTCCCCCTGACAGTATAATTATATCATTGATTATGGGGTTTACCTCTTTTGCTGTAAATCACTTCATGTGCAATGCATTTGGTCCCGGTAAAATTGTGCAAAGATACTCAATTTGGAGGCTCTCTCAAATACAAATCAAAACTTACGATGTACACACAAACAAGTGTAGAACGTGAAGAAAGGGTAAACGAAGGAGGGAAAAGCATGTTTTACCAACAGCCAGTTCAGCACTTAACAGTATGAAGTTAAGGTTGGAATGGATACCGGAAAGTACTAATTAACAGTTCAATCCCGTTGCACTGTCCGGCACTGAGTTGAGAGTTTTTAGATTTGAAAATTACGAACAAAAATGAACTTGGAGTGTAGAAAGCTATTGGGCCTCCCGAACCAGATACTACACCACCCCTATTCAAAACTTATTATGTGGTAGGTCTCTCCGAATCTTCAGAGCATTCGTTGACAGTATCCGCAACTGACGGGCAAGTCATCGTGACTTCGAAGTTCACCCTTTGTATGGTTCAACACAGTGGGGGGAAACATTCTGAAAAGCCGGGGTGCATCATGCACCAACCACTCGAAAGGTATACTAAGTCGTACGAGAGAACCACAAAGATTCACTGGAAGAGTTCTTCACTCGAATAGTCAACAGCGAACACCGATGACACATAAAAATGAGGTTCGTGCAAGATACGACTACGAGATGAATGTTGATCGATTCGGCGGGAAGGAGCAAATGAGTTGGATAAAGTAGCCAACTTACTGTCCAGTGTGTCCGTCCCAAATTTTAACCGAATGATCAAAACTTGCACTGGCTATCATTCGTGCATCGCGTGAGAATTTCACATCATTTACCACACCTTGGTGACCGACCATACGAGGTGCGAGGGGTTTTTTGTCCAATTCCGGTTGCCAGAGCGACAGTGTGTTATCATCTGAGCCGGCAACCAGACGCTCCGGGCCAGAACCCTGTGACAAGAAGAGTGGATGAAACAATAAGCGGTGAAGTGAATATAGGATCATGGACGGAGACCAAAGGTCAATGAAAGAGTGACTGGAGATCCGGGGACGATGGTGCTGATCAAGCGATAATGACTATCATCTCTTGGTCTCGCAGTTCGAGCATCCAAACCCCAATAAATAATTTTCCATGTTAACTTTAAAGTGATCGAAGTTCCCTTTCGTAGAAATAAATAGATTTGCTAAATATCAAATTGAAGTAGTATTATTAGTAGCTGTATTTCAGTAGTAAACGGGAAGAGATACATTGAAACGTACCCGAACTTTTGCATAAAGTTCTTCAGCATGCTTTTGTAACTGCTCACCTGTAGTGGATAAAGAATAAAGGGAAGAAATGTGAACAATCGCCAAAAAGTTGCCCCATCACGAATAAATAAGTTGGGAAACCAAAACTCCAGACTGTTTATGATAAACAAAATGCATGGTTCATAGCTAGGGTTACGAGTAAGTCAAAGATACAGTAGTGAGATCAGGATCTCACTTGCGTGTGGCAACTTCCTTCTTTTTTATGTCATAAGTGGAGGAGACAAATTTCCTAGTTTGACGAAGGACGGCACCGCATCCACTGAGAATATTTGAGCAACTGTATTATTATATAATGTATCTCACAAGTACTTGAATCTAGACTGCGAGCAAAACAAAACACGGTACAGCAAGCTTTATAAAAACCAAAAAGATCCACTATGTGCTCGTGGACGGAATACAGGCAGTCTTCCCCGGGATAAAACAGGTAAACTTTCTTTGGCATTCACAACCGGAGTATTTGATCAGCCAAAGTCCAAACCACAAAGCGGCGGGACAGTGCGTGAAAACAGCAGTCGAATGGGAGTTGGTATCCAATTCATCGCATCATGCACCCTTTGGACGGTGCGCAGTACACCTCGATGCCCAATCCAGTCAGTGGTGTCGTCCATACCCATCTTATTGGTCTACTAGGAATCCGGGTTTTCAGCTTACTGAACTAGGCGAACTACCGACGGTCCACCAACGCGGATATAGTTCCGACTGTAGGATTTTCGTCCCCTCACTTTGGTGGAAAACACTTCCGCAGGGCAGGCGGTGAACAGGAATTCCTCAGCAGATGCTATTTCAGAAAACATTTTGCAGGGTATNAGCGATCAGCCAAGAAACTCAGCCCTGGATAGGCTGAGGCTTTTGGGGCAACTGCACTGGGTGAAAAGAATCAAAATCATGAGATTCAATCAGATTGGTGCACTACCGGAAACCTCTACTACTTCCAGTGGTTATACCACATTCTGAACGTGATTGTCACGGGCTCCAGTGAGTGCTAGTGTATACGAAGACACCACCGGCTCATCAAAGCTGATCACAAAGTGTGAACCCACAGATTGGAAACCGAATTCCGATAGATTATGGACCCTGTCATCCGACGAGGAACATCCTCCTCCTTACTCGATCTTATGAAAAGATAGCCAATGTGACCAAGTGATAAACAGCTTTGCTTTTATTTGGTTCAACACTATGCTTGTGCATTCTCATGCGGTGACCAACCTGCAGCACAAATACAAATTCGATTGAGAACTTCCGCACTTGGTGTACCAGGATTCCCTTGAGTGCGAATGTCCAAGTTAGTACCCAGGGACAACATGTCTCTAAAATGTGTTGATGACGTTGAACGGGATAGAAATCGCACGCGATTTTAACTATTACCCGTAGTAGCTAAGTTGAAAGGGATCTGGAAATCTGAAGTAGTTTTCTCACATTTTCTGGTACGTAGTTTCTTTGCTAAATTCGGCCCACCCTATTGCACCGCCTATCCGGTCATTCTGACGAGATATGATTCCGTTAGGGTATAAAGAAAGGGAAAATGCAAAGAAATGAAGGGATTCCTATTTTTTTGCGTGCAGTGTTCACCTGGGAGCCTTACTCACTGCCTTCCCGTGGTGGTACTTTTCTATCAAAGAGAGAGGACAAAAAGCTAACATAAGGGTCAGTGAACCACTGGCAGCTTACCTAAGGGAGCTGGCTAAAAACTTAAAAACAATCAACAGGAGACGTACGAACCATTAACGCCCACATCTTCCTGGTTGAGGCAATGGTCACCGTCTCTATTAGTCATCGAAGTGAGTTGGGCACCTTCGACGTTTGAACCCGTCTAAAGAGCGTATTATCCGATGAACTGGAGACCGACTAAGTATATATAGCGGTTTTCGCAATGCCTTGTTGCCTTGTGAATCAGGCTTTGGTTAGCCGAAGACTCAACAAGAAAATTTACCAGCCTTGGCCTGTGCAACCGGGTAATATCGCGCGCACAAGCAGACCATAGACCTTTTTCTTTCTTATGAAGATTATAGTACCTTGATTTGTCTGGCACACCTTCTGGACTCAGGTGTGTGATATATATATATATATATATGTATATATGTATATATATATATATCCGGGGACTGCATGCACGCCCTCGAAATTCGGTTAAAACAGTCTGCTATGAGAGGGCAATAAAAAGGACTTCCCTTACAGGGGACTCTAACCGCAGGATCTCTGAACAATGAAATCTGGTCATTCAGACATATTCCGAACCGTTTGCGGTGTTACTTCAGAGCGTAACAAAAAAAACTGCGTTATCACATCGTGTTGCCACAAGGTGATGATGCCCAACAAAATAATCGGTAAATCAATTCAAGGGCGTCAAAACAAACGGATGGGTTTACAACTTCTCCTGGCGAAATCTGAATACTTTAACAAATAGTGTAAAACATTCCGAGGAAAATCGGTCAAGCGATCTGCTTTTGTAACACAGCGACACGTCTATGGAAAGTTTTCATCGATTCAATGGCTCAAATATTTCGGATGAACAACTTGAGTACCGGATCTGATACGGTAACACACGTGAAACGGTCAAGTGAAAAAAAACATCAGAAAGAAACTGACGTTTATTCTTGTCAGACTTTCGTGGAGGTGAGGATTTGATCAGTTGCGCCTCGGCCGGATCAAACGGACCGGTGCGAAGCACATAGTCTGTGCTCAGGGCCAAACAGTTCACCCAATGTCCGTGCATGCTCAGAGTACGACACAGGATACCATCGTCCGTTCGCCACACACGAATCGTACGATCTTGACTGGCAGAGTACAGCAAATCACTGCCGCCCCAACGAACGCAAACCACCGGTTTCTCGTGTCCANTCAGAGTGAGTAATGGTTGACCAGTCCAGCTGTCCCAAATAACCATCGATGTGTCTTGATAGGCCACAACCAATTTTCGGCAATCGGGATCCCTGGAAAGAAAAAATGGAAAATGGTGAATGCTGACAAACGAACGCATATCATACGAGTCAACTGCACCGGAACGATGATCTGGCATTTGACGGAATATGTACGCTGTTACGTTGCACAAAATATCACCTTTCAAAGACAAAACTGAATGCCACCTTCAGGTTGCAGATAGTCAGTCTCGAAGTCGTGNTCGTGTGTTTGAGTGTTAATATAGCACCATCGTTTCTTCTCTAGGCGCCCGGTTTACGAAAGAGGATATTTGTGATTAACCAAGGTTACACTTTGTGCTTATCTGACGGTGACAAATTTATGAACGTCGCACAGATGAATTCGTGAGATGAACGGAATCAATCAGACGTGTGATGGTTATCATCACTGCGGCCTCGAGCCACCTCAAGTAGCGTTCTAATCTAATCGCGACTGTAAAGCATTAGGAATAAAAATGAAAGTATTTAATCAATCGCCCAACACAATTTGAGCAATATTTAAGGGTGTGATGATGAAAATGGTTGAAAAAGAAAACAACAGTTAAAGGAATGGAACGCGGAGATTTTATAGATAGGAAATCATACCATCCGCATTCAAGTGAGCACGGAAGGTCTGTCCATGTGCAACTAATAGCCAAAGATAGTAAAAAGCACGTTGTAATAGAACAAAACATTTTGCATTCGCATATTCAACTCACAAATGAAAAGGACGCCAGACGAGAGAGCGAATCCAGCGTCCCCGTGAAGCGGTTGGAGTTTTCACTAAAGTCGGTCGAATGAGTGGTTTTCCCGTGCACAGTGACCACAGACCGCCGACGGAGTCGGATTCCTGCCACAAACAGACCACACCACCTTGACAACCAGATGCGAGACGCAAACCATCTGGGGACCAGGCCAAACAGAGTACAGGAGCGTGATGCGCATCAGTACCGGTGGTAGCGGGCAACTCGGTAGCCAAATCCCAAAACCGAACTGTCTGATCACCAGATCCGGTGGCTAAGCATCTGAATTCACGATGTGCGAGAGCAACAAAGCAAATATTATGTACATTTTTAGACAAGCAAAAAGGAACACCTGCGTATATATAATATATATATATAATGCATATATAATATATATATATATATTATATATATACATATATGTAGGGTTTGAACCTCGGATCTGCAGTAGACTTAAACCAATCTTAGACGAATATATGAAACACACCGATATATCCACCCTTGAAAAAACACGGCTTTTAAGGGCTAAGACAAAAGTGTGGTAGAAATAAAGTGACTTTAAAGGATGCAAGTTAAACATCTTGGAAGTCTCCTAAAAATGTGTGTACTGTTTTTTTCGTGGTTACTAGACATAGTAGGTGAAAAATATTTCATGGTTTTCCAAAAGAAATTAAGCGGTTTGAAGTAACAGCGTCATACTCAACTCCGGTGTGGCAATCATCAAAAGCAGAAGTGACTAAACAAACCTGGCATCGGGCGAAAACTGTGCTACGAGCACAGCACCCTTATGT